GGTGTCCCCGGCGGGCGAAGCCCCGAATGCCCGGAATAAAGCCTGTTCCTTCAGCAGAGCCAGCGGGCTGTGAGTGTCCCTGCCGCGGGGAGGGGACCTTGCCCACACGGGCAGGGCTCACGGGTGCCTCTGTTCCAGGTGGGCACCTCTGGAGGGCACGGCGGCCATCTGCAGCTGCTGTGACACCGGCAGCTGTCCCTCTCCCGGAGCAGATTCCCGTGAATTCCGCGCTCCGGCAGCACGGATGGGCAGGCGCATGAGGAGGGATGGCTCCGGACAGAGAGGTGTGTCCCCAAGGTGTCTCCTCGGGGTTTGGGCACAGTTAAAGGACAATCCCGGCTCTTCTCCAGTGTGTCTTTAGGGAAGGGATTTTTTAAAGAAAAGAGGGGGAAAATTGGGGGAAAATTCTGTGCGGGTGTGGAGGTCTTGGCACCGTTGTTCATTCCTGAAAATGCCCCAGGCTATGCTGGAGCCATCAGGGAATAGTGGGAAGTGTCCTTGCATAGGAGGCGTCACTGCCAATGGTGCTGGATGAGGCCCCATCCATCCCAAACCATTCCATGATTCTATCCCAACTGTGTCCTTGCATTTAAAACCCCTGGAATTCTGCTCTTCTGGTGTCCATCTTTCTGTAATTCCCAAATTCCAGCTCAAAGCATTTTCTCTCCTGGGTACTCATTCTCATCTCTTCCCAGGTGGGCTCTTAGGGCCGACTGAGGCCGATGTCTCTGTGGGACCCCTCCTGATCCTGGAGCCTGCTCAAGGATTAATGAGCCCCTCTGGAAGCCCAGGAGCAGCTGGGAACACCCCCCAAGGTAGGGGGTCACTGTGGGGTCTTTGTGGGGCTGTGTCTCTAGTCCTTACCCAAGGGTTGCTCCCACTGTGAATTCTCAGGGATTTCACAAAGGGATTTTCTGGACCAATCCCCCAGAGCTGTCCTATGGGATCCTTCCCAAAGATTGGCTGGAGGCTGGGAAGCCAATGAACGAGTGCTGAGAGGGTTTTGTCCCTTCCAGGTGCTGCTGGTGGAATTCCTGTGCTGATCCAGGGGCTCCTGCTGGCAGCAGCCACTCTGCTGAGCCTGACTGCCCTGGGAATGCTCCTGTGGATATGCCGGAAAAGGCTCTGCCCTCTGGGAATGTCCCAGTGATTCCAATAAAGAGAACAAGCATTTGCCACCTCCTGGTGTTCTGTGTGGGGTGGGAGGGGCCCCAGGTGGCTTTAGGTGGGAATCCATCCCTAGATGGGAAAGGGGTGGGATTGGGGATGTGGAGCTGCTTCTGCTTGGAAGGGATTCCCAAACCTCCAAGCACTTGGGTTTGGGAGGTACTGGTGGGTTTTCCAAAGGCTGTGGCCATAGAAAAGAATCCTAAGAAAGGTGTGGCTTCTGTTTTAGAGGTTTATTGGTGTTCTGGGGTTCTAAATAATTCCCTGAGTTTGGAATTCCTGTTTTCCCTTCTTTATCCAGTGGGATGCAGGAATGATGCTCCAAGATCCCTTGAAGGATGCCAGGGCAGCTGGAATTCTGGGATTTTGGTTGGTTGTAGTGCTGAGTTTGTCTTCTTGGCATGGGAAAACTTGGAGTAACCTCAGGGATGGGAAAGGGCTGGAGGTGCTTCTGTTTTGCAGGGGCTGGATGAGAATGAATCCCGTTGTTTTTATGGAATGTGAGAGCTCTGGGATGAGCACAGCAATGGGATTGCATTCCTGGGCCATGGTTGGAGCTGGGAAGGTCCCAAACCTGCAGATCCCATTCCAGGGCAGGTGCTGTGGGTTCTGGGGATGTGTAGGGGGAGGAAAGGACAGGCTTACTTGGGATGGGTGCCCTCCACACCTCTGTGCTCCTCTTCCCCTGGTTTTTGTCTCCAGAGAGCTGCTGGGGACATCCTGGACTGTTGCTGCCAGTGCAGTGACAAACCTGCTTGGGTAAGCACAAAATCCTCCTGTTGTGGTCCAGCCTTTGAGGCTGTCTCTGCTCCATGCAGGTGGAAGGCAGGACTGAGATTTGCACACCTAAATGTGCTGGTTAGAGCTCCATAAACTAACCACCAGCTCAGACCCACCTGAGTGATCTCTGGCTCTTCTCCTGTGACAAAACTGCCACAGTCAGAGAGGCAGATTCAATTACTGGCATGGAATAAGATCTTCTCCAAGACTTTTTGAGGATTGAGCGTCCAAAAATTGGCATAATTGGAGTAAAGGATAGAGGAACAGTTAAACTGCATGAGAGGGAAACTGAAAAATGGTAAAGAAAAGGGAATAATATGCAAGATGTTGTAAACGTGTTTGGAAGCAGCGTGTCATTGTAAGGAATACAAAGAAAAGGAAATGGGAATGTTACAAGATGAGTTTGAACAAAGGAAGTGACAAAAAGAGCTGTTATCTCTGTGAATAGAACAATTGCAGAAACAACTGGAGTGGGGGGAAGAAAAAAGAGGAGAGGACAAATTAGAATTTATGATCTGATATATTAGGTTCCATGGAGATCCATTAGTTAACTGCATGCCCAGAAGATTGGGATGGAGATATATGGAAGGGACCCTGACTGGGAATTTAGGGATGAGAGTAGTGAAGAGGGTGAATTGTAGTTTAAGGTGGTCCCTCTTATTAAAATTGAGGTGTCCCTTGGGCCTCAAGGGGGAACCAAAGAAATACCACCAGAACCATTCTGTGGGACCTTCTTCAACTGGATAATTTGCAAGAAAAATATGGCCAGAAGGCTGGCAAGAGTGGAATTGGGTATTTGTGGTGCCTCTTTGATTAGGGAAGATCATGTGAAGCATGATCTTCATTAGGGGAAACCCAAGGTGAAGCAGAGGTGGCTTTTGGGGATGAGGGGTGTTGTTTAACAAGGGAAGCAGATTCTAACAATGAATCACATTCCAGCACAGACTGAACTGTGCAAGGAAAAAAGTTGTTTACAGAAAGGTGACAAAGTTCTGGAATGGCTGCCCAGGGAGGTGGTGGAGTCCCCATCCCTGGGTGTGTTTAACCAAGCCTGGATGTGGCACTGGGTGCCAGGGTCTAGATTGAGGTGTTTGGGATGGGCTGGGTTTAATGATCTTTAAGGTCTCTTCCAACCTGGTCGTTCTGTGAATAGATCCTTGGGAATGAGACCAACAACTGCTATCCCTGTATATTCATTGAGCAACTTTTAACCCTATCAGCTCCCACAGACCCCCAGGCCTTGGAGGTGGAACTCCTACTCTTTTAAAGCTCCCATTATGAAAAGAGACCGACCAAAAGATAACAGTGGAGTTAAAGACCACATTAATGTTGGGTGGATGCACCTGAGCCACTCATTAGAAAGGATAACCAGTTTGGAGTCTCCTCACTGAGACTTGTCCTGTTTCCCTTTCCAGGACCCACACTGGGTTATACCAAAATCCCAAGACCCAGCTCTAGTTTATCCCTCAATAATCCTGGTGCATGGAGTGAAAACCCCCAGGTCCTTTATTTGTACAAATGTGTGTGCTAATGGTTGTAATCGTGGTTAAGCCTGAGTGCACTGCAATGACAATCACGAAAAGGCAAGCTGTAATTGTACAAATTTAGGAGTCCCACCCATTCATGTGGATTTGGCAGAGGGAAATGTAAGCACAGTATGTGAAGGACAATCCCCCAAAAATGAAGTGGAAATTTACTTATTTAGTTTTCAATGTGGCTCCTTTGAAAATGGGTATAGATCTAAGCAGGCTGGTAGCCGTTCAATGAGTGTTACATAAGAGGAACACACAGGAGGAGACATAGTATCAGACATAATTTATCTGTTTATCTTGGAGGTATAATTTAAATTAAACTTGGATTGTTTATATCAACACAGCAAAAATCACCTTAACCCCCAGAATCTATCCTACTACCTCTTGGACCTGTTGCAATCTTCACAGATTCCTGAAATTGAGCCCAATGGTATTAAAAAGCCAGGCCAGCAACAAGTGATCCTTAATCCCTGATGGAGCCCCAGGCCTGTGGAACTGTCACTGCAGGTTAATGTCTCTGCACTTAAACCTACCTGCTTATCATTCCTAAATACCTCTGCCCAGGGCTGCTCACAGGGCTGCACAGTGAGCCCTCACCTCTCAAAAAGAGCCAGGAGAGCTGTGACTGGCATCCCAGGAACAGGATTAGGAGTATTAAATAAACAGCACAGATGCTGGAGTTCTGGCAAATAAATTAAGCCTGGCAGCAAGTGATTTGTGTGAGAAAGAACACCAGTTAAAATCTTCTTTTTTGGCATTAGGAACTGGTCAATGTCTCCTGGCTGCTTTGTTGTCTAAATAGCAAAGAATTATTGGAAAGGACCCCCACCTAATTGTGAATGCACTTGGCATTACCCAGAATAATATTCCCATAGCTCTCAGCTGTGTTCAAGCTCAGATGCAGGTGCAATCCATTCCAGCAAAAAGGGAAGGTGATGAGGGCACCTTACCAACTGAGGTTCAAAGGTAATTTGGTTAAATTTCAACTCACTGAGTATTTAAAAAGTACTTATTTTAATTCAAAAAGCATTTCCTATCTTGGTGGTATCTACTGAATTTCACTTGTGACCAACCAGAAGTAGGGCCACAGCTTTTATCTTAACTCTATGCCATGTTTAATGGCTGGAATTGATTATTTTAGAGGTGTTTTCCAACCTAAATTATTCTATAGACTCAATCATTGCATTGGGATTGAATCAGCATGGAATTGTACTGTTAGAGCCTGGAGTATGGGCCCAGCAAAATGGGAACAAATGGCAAACTGTCACTGCTGCCACGTGTGCTGTGCAGAAACAACAAGGATTTATTTGTGAGTGTAATACTCTAAAGACCCAAGACATTTGTCTTGACACTGAACAAAATGTTTGTCATTTTGAAATACATCCCAGAGAGACCTCTGAGACTGTACTTGGCTGTGCTGGGAATGGCTGTGTTTGCATGAGAGCCCTTTGTGATTCTCTATAAATAGAGAATATTCACAGTCCCTCAATACCTGCATCTGTAATTTTATTAAAGTTATGGGATGCAGCTTTAACTATTCAGCCACAACCCACCATATCACAGCAAGAGTGAAGAAAGGGGGAAAACATCTCTGGTGAGAAGATCTGCTCAGGTGGTCACCAACAGCCACCAGAGCTGTGAATTAGATGTTCCACCTAATTGTAGTCTTGTTAATCATTATAGTTTTGTGTCCATTGTTATTCTTCTGTTTATATGTCCCATTACAGCTTATATCAAAGTATAATAGCTATGAGTGGATGTGTGGGTATTAAGGGATCAGCAAATCTGACATATTGTCTCATTTCCCAGCCTATTACCCACTCAGTAAATTAACTTCCAGCTCAGCTCTGCCTCAGTGATCCCTGACTCTTCTGCTGCAGCACAGGGGGTGACATTCATTGAGTGCAAGTTGCACTGTGGGGTTTTCAGTCATCTTTTCTCCTGTTCTGCTCCATTTCCCCCCTCTTGCTGAGAATCTCCATCCTCTGCTGGTTCATCTCACTTTCCAGCCTGCCCTGAGTGGGATGGGGTGGGTTTGTGTGCAGTGGCTTTGGGGTCAGTGTTAGCTCACACTGAGCTGAGAGGGGACACAGACATGCCCAGCACTGAACCAGGGCAGGAATTGGCATTTCACTTTTTCTACCTCATTCCTTCTAGGTCAGGAATGGGGGAACAGCAGGGATGGGCTGTGAGGTGTAGAGCCACCCCCAGATGTGCTGGAGGTAGGATGCCGTGGTTGTTGCTGTTTGCAGCTGGGTTAGGGCATGAGCTGGCAGTGCAGAGCACCAAAGAGAACCCAGACCCACCTGGGTGGCCAGACTGGGTGTGCTTAATGTGTTTGTATCCAAATTTCTACAAGCTCTTTACAGAAGAACAACCCCGATCCCATAAAAGTAATGAACTTTTAAGTCCCTCACTCCTTCTGGTGTCATTGAAGACTTCTGCCTGTGTTGCAAGTTCAAAGAAAAGCTGCCATTCTGGGGCTTAACAGTGGCATCTAAGGGACAGTTATGAAGCATTTAGGGACAAACCCAAGGTTTAAACAGCTGCAAGGGGCTGGGAGCTGAGTGCTGCTGCCTGTGTGTGCAGATCAGCATTGGCTTAGTGGCCTGGCTTGTTTGCCTCCCTGATGATACCAGCTGACTTCTTGGTCCACTGCATCATCTGGAGA